ACTACTACTACTACGATTACTACTACTACTACTACTACTACTACTACTACTACTACTACTACTACTACTACTACTACTACTACTACTACTACTACTACGACTACTACTACTACTACTACTACTACTACTACTACTACTACTACTACTACTACTACTACTACTACTACTACTACTACTACTACTACTATTGCTACTGCTACTACTACCACGATCCAGTAAAAGACGCGCGAAATCCCAACCGCAATAGCACACGCGTGGATCTGTTCCTCTAGGGTGTTCATTGCAATTTCAGTTTGCACTACACAAGTATGATATCACTTCAATATGTTTTCTGTTTGTGCTTTCTCCTCGGTTGTGATCTGACCGTGCCTGGTGCTTTGGACGGTTGTGATCTGAACCGTCCGGTTGTGATCTCACGCGACCGGTTGTGATCTGAACCCATCGCGGGTTGGACCCCCCCCCTCCCTGGGCCCTCTCTGGTAATCGTCGCTGCGTCCCCGCCGTCGGCGCTGCTGGCCGCCGCCAGCGCCAGCGCCGGCGCCGGGCGCGGGGGGGAGAGGTTGTGGAACACCCCCCCCTTTGGGAGCGGGGTGGGTTCGGGAGGGGGTGGGGTTAGGGGGGAGGGGGATCCCCCTGGTTCTGATGGACGGCGCCGAGTGTTGGGGCGGGGGGGCCCAACCCCCGGTTCGAAACGCGCCGCCGATTGTTCCCAAGGCAAGCGCCCGTGAAACGCGCTCTCTCTAAGGAACTGAGCCTGGGTGCCGTTCCTGCCAGCTCGTCGCCGCCCGTCGCCGCAAGTATCTGGGCCTGGGTGCCAGCCAGCTCGTCGCCGCCCGTCGCCGCGTCCGTCGCCTCTGGTAAATGAGCCGGAGTGCCAGTCCAGCTGGCTCGCCGCTGCCAGTTGCCGCCCATCTCCGCCGCCGCCGCCGCCCGTCACCGCCGGTCGCCGCCGCCGTCGCTGCTGGTAGCTGAGCCCCAATGCCAGTCTGGCTGGCTCGTCGCCACCCGTCGCCACCTGTCGCCGCCGTCGCCGCTGGATCGCATTGCATTGCAATCGCATTGCTTAGTAGTGCTTGGCATTGAGTTGCATTGTACACCACGTAAACATACGTACACAAACATCCTCCGACGATTTTTGCATGTATCTTGAGGGAGGGCGGCGATGTATAAAATCGCTGGCTCCCAGTGGTGATTCATACACCGCCACCCTCCCCTGAGGCCCAGGAATGATCCATTGGAGGGTGTCAATGCTTTACACCGACTTGAACCACTTTGCATTGCTTTGTATCGAATTGCATTGTTGTCCTCTGCTTTGCGTTGCTTTGCGTTGCTTGGTATCGCTTGGCGCATCATGGATTGCACCACATGACATGGATTGCACCACCTGGATGGCACCACATCGATTGCACCAACAAAATTGCAACGCATAAAATTGCGTTCAACGCTGGCAAACATAGATTCCCAAAACAACGCCTCCACTTCTACATGCTGGCAACATGATCCCATGGGAACTGCAGAATGTCCCAGCATAATCGCAGGGAGCTGCAAAGAATGAGCACAACGATAGCCTGCGAGCACCACAACATGCCTGCGAGCGGCTGTTACCGCTACGAAGGGGAAGGGGCTTGACGGAGTAACGTGAGTTCCGCCCTGAAAAGAACAACACAGAACGAGCAGCCACAAAACAACACAGAATGGCGGTGGAGGATGATGACGACGACGGTGACGTGGGGGGGAGGGCGAACGAAGAGGGAGGACGAGGAGGGACAACCAGGGACGACGAGGCACGGGGAAGAACGACAAGGGACGACGAGGAGGGACGAGGATGGCACGCGTCACCGGCTTGTTCCTGCCAGTCCTCCTCCCCCGGCTCTCGGGCGGCCTGCGGGACGTGACCTCGGTGGCGGCGCCCGCGGGGGGCGCGCCGATCCCCTCCTCCTCGGAGGAATCGGGGAAGGAGGGAGGGATGGTCAGGGTCTTGTTGTCTCGACCCTCCACCTCCTCCTCCTCCTCCTCCTCCTTCTCCTCCTCCTCCTCTTCCTCCTCCTGCTCCTCCTCCTCCTGCTCCTCCTCCTCCTCCTCCTGCTCCTCCTCCTCCTCCTCGACCCTCCGTGGCCATTTTGGCTGAAGGGTCCAGGAGGCCGGGTCCCTTGGGCCCACCCCTCGCGGCAGGATGGGGAAGAAGGGGGGAGAAGCAGGGAGCGATTTGGTATCTCCCCTCTCGCAAGCGCTCCACTCGCAGGTCACCTGCTTGCGGCGCACACCCGGAAGAGCGAGACAAAGGGGCGAAGGCAGGGAGGAGGAGAGGAGGATGGATGGAGGAGGGAAGAGAAAAGGGAGGGAAAGGAGGGGAGGAGGGGAGGAGGGGAGAGGAGGGAAGGGAACGATGGGAGGAGAAGA